GGTGGGGGAGGGCTTGGGAGGGCCAGCAATGGCCGTGCACAAATCAAGGGAGAAACATGCACCAAGCACCCAGTCGGTTCACTCAACTTGCTAGGCCACCCAAAAGCTAACCCAAATTAAAACCAAGCCAGCTTCGCATAATAGACAACTATAGCTGCTGAGTTGGTAAATGACCTGTTTAAACAGGCTGGGTCAGCACAGCCCATCCAAAGAAAGATCTATGGGGTTTTCCAGTGGAGCGCTTGGGAAATCTGACGTTTCATTCATTCATTCATTCATTCATTCATTCATTCATTCATTCATTCATTCAAAGTACTTGTATGGCTGCCCATCTCAAAGCCAGAACTCTGGGCAGCTCATAATCACAATATAAAAACAACGTCAAACAAAAAATTAAAAGCAAACAACAATAAAAAAGAATATAAACATGCCGCTGGCCCCAAACTCCCTTGATGCAACCCACAACACTCTCTTCCAGTTCCGGCCTCCACCTGTCCTAGTGTTTGGGGGAAAAGCCAGGTCTTAACTGTTTTTTTCCCGGAAGGTTAACAGGGTAGGTGCCTGCTGGATCTCAAGGGGCAGGGAGTTCCACTGGGCACAGCGTGCCATGGAAAAGGTACCCTTCCAAGGACCTGCAAGATGGTAACGTTAAAGGGAAGGGACCTGGAGAGGCGGTCCCTTAGGGAGAGATGGTCCTGCAAATAACCTGGCCCCGTGCCATATAGGTCTTTAAAGGTGATAACCAGCACCTTGAACCTCACCTGGAAGGAAACTGGGGGCCAGTGCAGCTTGTGCAACAGTGTTGTTACATGGGCAAACTAAGGGCACCCAGCACTGCGCACACTGCTGCATTTTGCACCAGTGGTAACTTCCAGGTGGTCTTCAAGGGCAGCCCCACGCAAAGCACGCTGCAATCATCCAGCTGGGAGGTGACCAAGGTGTGAATGACCGTGAGCAAGACCTCCTGGTCCAAGAAAGGGCACAATGCCAACCTCAGAAACCGAGAAGCAGAGAAGCAGCAGGGCTGAAGAACCTTCTACCTGCAATCAGGCAGGCTCCTGATAAGGGTTGCATTTGGGGATCCCCTTCTCATACAAAACAGCAAACAGCCTCCAATGAAATCGGTTAACAGTCCACGTGAACCAAAGATATAAAGAGTTTCGTGGCGGAAAAGCTGATGAAGAAGGACCCACCCACCCCTTGCAGGTAGAGAGTTCAAACATTCCTGTATTATAGAGTTATTATTGGATTACTGAAGTGGGATGAAGACGAAGACGTCTCTTATTTTACCTTTTAATCCAAAGGTTCCTGAGATGGATGGCTGCTCCCCAGTAAATTTCTTAGGAGTTTTCTGTTTCCTTCCTAACTCAAAAAGGAGAAAACAGAAATAAAACTTTGGTCAAACCCCTGGGTGGTGAGTCGCCCTTTTGCAATTAGCCACTTGGTTTTTGCTTAATTTATTCCTCAACTGATGGCCTTGAAAAGAGGTAATGAAAACAACAAGGATTAGATCTAATTATTAGATTTAATAAATCCAGCTAGCTGTCTCCTAATTTTATCATGCCATCTCTGTTTTCTATTTTTATTATCTGTAGTTTTCTGTTTGGTTGGTGTGGTTCTGCTCTTTTATAATTGCTATATTGTGGAAGTTTCCTTTGGTTGTGGAGTCTCTGGATTGTAGCTGGGTAGAAATTGGGTAAATAAATAAATAAAATGCACAGCCCCCCACCCCCCACCAAGAAATTTCTGCTTAGTCCTCTGTGGCTTCTGAAGTTTTGCCAGTCACTCTCCACAGGGTTTCCAAATTTCTCTCTACAACCATAAGGACTAGAAACTTGGCTTAAAAAGAAAAAATAACAAGAAGAGAGAATGCTTAATCTTTCCACAGTGTTTAGAGCTGGGAGCAGGGCAGGATGATTTCAAGGATGCCAAAAAAAAAAAAAAAAAGAGGAAAATATTGTGGAATCAGCCAGCACAGATTATTTACTTTTAAAATAAAGACTTATACCAGTCTCTCTCAACCTTAGCCACTTTAAGATATGTGGACTTCAACTCCCAGAATTCCCCAGCCAGCATAGCATAGCATAGCTGGCTGGGGAATTCTGGGAGTTGTACCAGTGTTTCTCAACCTTGGCCCCTTTAAGATGTGTGGACTTCAACTCCCAGAATTCCCCAGCCAGCATAGCATAGCATAGCTGGCTGGGGAATTCTGGGAGTTGAAGTCCACATACCTTAAAGTGGCTAAGGTTGAGAGACACTGAACAAAAAGGATAAGCATCTGAACTGGAGGAAGCAGGGATTATGATTTTTACCTGAGTCCTGATTTAGTGCCCAAAGTCTTTCTAAGTTGTGCAGCATGACAAAAACACTTAAGTTCAGGCCTCCAAGCTGAGGAGTCTGCCCACTGAACCTCTGTACGCTGCCTGACCATTACAACTTCAGCCAAAGTTAGGCAATTTGGTTTATGCAGAAATGGAGAAGGGGGCCCGATTAGGCAGTCCCGTCCCCTCCTCCCGCTTACACCCAAACGCGACCCCAGCAGGTAAAGCACCACATGTACTTCCCATTTTAAACTTAGGTGAGGAGGGAAGGGGTGCCTCCGCTCCCCCAAAGTTTGGGAAACGCTGCTCTAGTCTTACTGTGCTTCATCCTTTCGGGGTCTTCCTCCTGCTTAAAGGCCTGCCTGCTCGCCTGATGTTTGGTGCCTCGGCTGCCGGGCGGCTGGCCAACCGGGGTTGCAGCCATTCCCCCGCCGCCAGCTGCAGCGGTCTGCAGATCCCTGAGGCCCTGGCTCACGGCCGCGTGCTCTCCGTTCTCGGGGTGCTGCAAGGCTATGGCCTTCTCCACCTTGGCTTGTTTGGGGTGGATGGTGGGGGAAGTGGACCGTTCAGCAGCTCTAGGGCAAAATGCAGAGGGCTGAGTTAATGAGAAGTCAAGCTAGCAAAGGCTTTCTTCAGTTTGACCGCTGGTAAACATTCCATATCTACGCGGTCAGGGGGAGGAGCTTCCCCTAGCCTCTCCTCTTGCTCAGGAGCCCCTACCTTTTCTTCCCTCCACCCTTGCTGGTCGCCTTCTGCACTTTGTTTTCTGCTGGAGGGGCAGCCGCTGGCAACGGCCTGTCCAAGTGATTCCAGAGGCAATGCTTCTCCAGCTGGGTTTTGGATGTGAACACGGCTTCGCAATAGGGACACGGGAAGGTGCGTTTTTCTACAATGGCCCCCTGGAAGGAGGAGAGAAAAAGGGAGAGAAGATAGTGGAAGGACAGCAAAAGGGGAACGGCAACATCTCGGGCTTCTAGATCAGCCTCTCCAAACCAGGGCCTCCTCCAGATGCAAGTGGACTTCAATTCCCTGAATTCTCTCCAGCCGTCACTCCCGCTGCTGAGAATTCTGGGAGTGGAAGTCCCCACATGTAGAGGGAGACTCCCTCAGGTTGGGGGAAAACTGTTCTAAACAAAACTCAGGTTGAGGATCCATTCTGCTATCCAACTGGGACATGGTCTCAATAATCCTACTTGGCTAACAGTACAAATTTTACTAACCATAGTCTGTAACCCCCCTGCATAAAAATAAAACAGTTCTGAAACATCAAAAGCATTCTTCCTTGTTTGAGGTTGAGTTCATACAACCTGCTTAGCCAGGTGAGTTACAAACCTAGTGGCGGCAATAGTACAACATGCTAAGATTATCTAGCAGGCCAAAACCACTGACCTCTCCTTTTGCCTTCTTTGCTTTGTCTACATTGTTCTGGGAAGACCCAAATTCAACAAGAACCAAGCTACAGGAAATCCTCGCTTAACGACCTTCATTTAACAATGGTTTGAAGTTACGATGGCCTTGGAAAAAATGCTTTATGATCTGTACTCACACTTCTGACTGTCACAAACCATCGCACCCCCACATGGTCACGTGATCACGATTTGTGACCTTTTTTACAATGATCGTTAAGTGAATCACTGTGGTCATTAAGTGAATCACCTTGTTGTTAAGTGAATCATGTGGTCATTAAGCAAATTCTGGCAAAAAAACATCCATTAGGGAAGCTGGGTTCACTTAACAACCATGTGATTCGCTTAATAACCCTTGTAAAAATGGTCGTAAAATCAGGTCTGGTCACATGGTGACTCACTTAACAACCACCCCAATTTTCCAGTCCCTACTGCAGTCTTTAAGCGAGGATTCATATTTCATTTCATTATAGATGTACTGATACTGTATACTCTCTGGTAAGGATTGTAATGCAACACCTAGAAACTATAGCACTTCCCCATATACAACCCAAAGTATGGATCCGCTATGTGGATGACACCTTTGTTATAATAAAAAAAGAATAACTAGAGAAGACACAAGAAACCATCAACAACCTCTTCAAAGGAATAAAATTCACCAGAGAGGAAGAAAACAACAGCACACTATCCTTCCTGGATATCCGCATCAGCAGAGGAAACAACAGCAAATTAGAAACCCAAGTTTATTGGAAGACAACCCACACTAACC